CACAGCTTTTTCTTGCTACCCATACCCAAACACTAGGCAGGTTCAAAGTAGGTTTTTCTTGCTATCAATATCCAAACACTAATACCCCTGATAGGTTTAGAGTAGGTCTTTCTTGCTATCCATACCCATAAACAATTACCCCTGCTAGGTTCATATTAGGTTTTTCTTGCTACCCATACCCAAACACTAATAATACGCCTGGTAGGTTCAAAGTAAGTTTTTCTTGCTATCAATACCCAAACACTAATACCCCCTGATAGGTTCAGAGTAGGTTTTTCTTGCTGTCCATATCAAAACACTATTGCCCCTGGTAGGTTCAGAGTAGGTCTTTCTTGATATACATGCTCAAACACTAATAATACGCCTGGTAGGTTCAAAGTAAGTTATTTTGCTATCAATACCCAAACACTAATACCCCCTGATAGGTTCAGAGTAGGTTTTTCTTGCTGTCTATATCAAAACACTAATGCCCCTGGTAGGTTCAGAGTAGGTATTTCTTGATATTCATGCTCAAACACTAATACCATTGGTAGGTTCAGAATACGTTTTTATTGGTGTTTATACACAAACACTAATACCCCTGAAAGATTCAGAGTAGGTTTTTCTGGTAGGAAAAAAAGCATACTTACGACACAGCTATTCACTTTTTATAGTGAAACATTATAAATTGATAGAGTGAATGTAAATATTAAAATATATATATTATATAATTAGAAGAAATTCAGTGAAATATATGTAACCTAATGTTTGTAGAAAAATTATTAACGTCACGAAGTATCTATATTATCTACGTGACTTTGTAATTTATTTGCTTAATTAAAAATAGATAAAATAAACGTCAGTTGATTTAAAGCAGTTTCTGAACTTGTGCAACAGGGTAACACATACATTGAGTGGTCACAAGTAAATAGACACCTAATTTTTCATTTAACTGATTTATGCTAACTAATTTGTGTTCACAGAGAACTATATAAATGAAAATGGTCCGCACACTAATTATCGTGTGCTACAATATGCCTAGCACTCAAGGTTC